CGTGACACTGCGTGAGGGCTTGTGGCGCAATTGTTTGGACGCCTCCAAGGATTTACTCATTTATGTTATATTTTATGCATATTTACATGTACTCTGATATGTTCACTGCATGTAAATTTCTAGTCAGTCTCAGGGGGATCACACTTGTACCTTTCACCTATGTACATGTAACCTGTATTGTTTAATATTAGGTGATCCCCCTTAATGATTTGTTTTACCTTTTACTTTATGTCATTGAATTAAATGACATATTCGACAAAACTGCATATCTGTGTTTGGTTATTTTTCACTGCACTATCAGGCTGATATTTCTCATAGGAGGCATAAAACAATACTATCACAGATAATTCAATTTATGCCGCTATGAGAAATATATTTTACACCTTAGGATAATTCCGCATATCTCTGCGCAGTCTGCAGGATATGCGCCTTTATCGCAGCGCAATTATCAAATAACCTTTCATTGCGAAATCGCAAGCTTTGCTTTTCTTGACAGAGTAACACAATCAAAATCTTTGATTTTGTTGCGCCATTTTTGTTAGCCTGGTATTGCCTTAAAAAAAAAAACCCACCACCCACCCTTTTTTGGGGTTTTTGGTTTTATATTATTTTATAACTTGTCATACGTTTCTTGGATTGGCGCAATTGTTTGGACGCCTCCAAGGATTTACTCATTTATGTTATATTTTATGCATATTTACATATACTCTGACATGTTCACTGCATGTAAATTTCTAGTCAGTCTCAGGGGGATCACACTTGTACCTTTCACCTATGTACATGTAACCTGTATTGTTTAATATTAGGTGATCCCCCTTAATGATTTGTTTTACCTTTTACTTTATGTCATTGAATTAAATGACATATTCGACAAAATTGCATATCTGTGTTTGGTTATTTTTCACTGCACTATCAGGCTGATTTTTCTTATAGGAGGCATAAATACGCTTGGTATAATTCTTTCTTAAAAAGGTATCGATTAAATTAATTCACACTTTACGAGATGGAAACAAATAAAATGGGACATAAGCAAAATAACATATGTAAATACAGGGTGTTTCACAATATATGTCACACATATGAGCATAATCTGAATATCAAGCATGATACCAAAAATACCAAAACATTATATTTTTTTTGAAACTCTAAGCCAAAATAAATACATCGATGACTGTAAATCTGCTTTTAATCGCAAGTTATAAATATCCCAAATTTCGCGATTTTCTTTAACTTGTGATCATTTGTCGCTGTGAATCATTTATTTTGCTGTTTATTTGTAGAGAGTTTCCCTAGGTCAGAAAATTTATCAATGCGGATACCGCTAAGAAATCAAATATATACAATACACGACATGGACATGTGTAGCGCTAATTCATGATTTCATAACAACTTCAAACAAGTAATTGCGCTAAATTTTGAATGCCTCTGTTAATGTACACATACAGTAACTGGAGACCTCAACTCCTCAAACAGGGTGTTTAGAACAAGATGTGAACTATGAAACTGTTTTCATCTTCCCGTCCTCGGGAATTCCAAGTGAGAGAAATATGGAGATTTCGAATTCAATCAAGCTCAAAAATCCATTTATATTTACAAATCGAGAGAAATGCAAACGCGGACCTCTAAAAACATACAACAAAGGATGGATTATGTGCAATGGTGAAGTAGCATGCCCTGTCAGATGGTTACACTCGCCCGACATTGACTCCTTGTTATGATCCGGCAAAGGGAAGAATCCGTATACAATTCATGGAGTAAATAATCAGTATGAACAATTACGAGGGCTGTTCAATAAATGATGTCATGAGCTCGATGCCATGCAACATAGAAATCATATGACATTAACCTTCACTTTCTCTCATTATTCAATCTTTAATGAATTGATAATAGTTTATGTAACCACTTTTCATCGCAGAAGCTTGAAAACAAGGCCTATTCGAGACACTACATCAAAAATGAATGGTAAAGAATCAGTAAACTAGAGTGAAATTACACGCTTCATTAAAACTGCTGTAAAACTTGTTAAGAATCCCCAAAAAATATCAACTGAAATATGTGAAATTTACAGCAGACAATGTAAGTTTAATGCACACATGAGAGGTGGATTTCAATGAACAAAAATGATATAATGAGCATCAAAAAAGGGTACCGTCCTTGGCGACAAGCACTTACAACAACCAATGTACTTTTTGCGAAAATTCAACAAAATATCACTGATTATGTTTGATTGACTTTACGAAACATAGCAAATTTGATAGGCATCATTTTGGGGGTAGTTCACAATGTTTTAAAGAAACATTTGACAGTACAAAAAAACTTAATTTTCAAAGGTCACCCTATGTTTTGAAAACTGAGTGAAAACGACAAAGTACGACAAAGTGTAAGAACATCTGAACAACCATTTTAAAATATCAAAATTGTACTCATCCACTTTTGCCTGAAATTCAAACAGATAATGAAACTTGAATCCATTGCTTTAAACCCTCAAAACAAATTTACAATAAGATGCACTTGATGAAAACATCAAAGGCCTGCGGAGAGCAAAGAATTGCGAGAGCACAAAAACAGTGTACTCTTGGTTATGATTGGGCAAACATGTACGGAAGAATCCGTACACAATTCATGGTGTAAATAATCAGTATGAACAATTACGAGGGCTGTTCAATAATATATAATTATTGCTGTTTTTGAGGTCAATACAATGATTTAGCCATCTGAGGAGTACAATATTCACCGACCCCGAAGGGCGAGGTGAATATTGTACTTCAAAGATGGCTAAATCATTGTATTGACCGAAAAAACAGCAATAATTGTTTTATTATATGATTCACTGATAAAAAATATACAGCTCATTACTTGTTTGCATTTTATTAAGTCATATACAAGAGAGAAGCAGAATTAAAATGTCAATAAACCTTACTGGTCATATCAATTTGAAATGTTTTTATCAATTTTAGTTGCCATGAAAATAAATATATAATGTCAGTCTTTTTTTATAGGATAGATTTTGAAAGGAAGGAGTATTATCAGGGAAAACTGAATGCCAAAAAAGTAAAAAAAAAATTTATTCAGTAAAAGTGTTGGAGGGAGGACCCTGCACCCCCTGTTACCACCCTCACACTAAAATATATATTTGCTTATTTTTTGCTGACATGATCAAATCAAAAATCATATAAATAGCTTTCCAAAACAATTTGTATCAATTTGGAATTTCCCAATCTATTTTTAGATCAAAGTAGAGGAAATAAATCCTTGTATTGACCTGGAACGTCACGTGCAGGTCAATACAACGTAGTATTTTTCTACCATAGTTAGATCTCAGCCAATCAGAGAGTTGGAAATTATTCAATCATATAATAAATAATTTTATTAGCTCGATTACATGCAACATAGAAATCATATGACAATAAATGCTATTTCTTTAAATATTACTGATCTTGTTGTTCAAATTCTTATTCAGGTAGGCAGTTCAATTTTTGGAGGAGTCTAGAAAGCAAAAAAATCGAAAGGTTAATGAGAGGAAGGTACCAGGATCAAGAATCCACTACATTTAATTTCTACCTGAGAGCGCCCAGACCACGAAGAGTAAAGGAGTTTTGGGGAGAAACAGATATTTAATGTTTTGTCACACCAACAATATTTGCCAGATCTTTCAATCTTTGACTTGTTTCATTTCCCAAACTTAAAACGATCACCTTTCAGAGAGTAAAAAGAATAAATACAGGAAATCATAGGATCTACCATATTCAGGTATACGAAGGGCCATACTCAAAAATGTGTTCAAAAAGAAATTAGACATGTGTTTTAATTAAAATAGAATATCTAAGTAAAATCATTATGACTAAATCATTGAAAAGCGGTTTTTTGTTTCTTTCCAAGCACCGATGGCATTATTTATTGAACAGCCCTCGTAGTATTAAAAAAACATACATTTTCGACAAAATTATATAATGCATTTTCTGTCAAGGTCATTGTATCGACGATAAAACTTAAAGTTTGCTTTAAATGAGACATATGCAAAGAAGACTTAAATACATGTAAATGATCCCTTGAAATTAAAAAAAGGAGGGATCAGGTGTCTAGGAGGAGTAAGCATCCCATGTTGACCGGTCATACCCGCCGTGAACACTGTAATTTAATACATTATGTATCAAGGATACATATTGTAGTCAGGTCTTATTGGTGAGAAGCATTGCTTTGCTATAAAAATTAATGGGACTCCGGACAAGTATTTGTGTAGTGAATAAGTTTGATGACACAAACACCATAAGCAGGTGATTGTAGAATATCACTACATCATAAAAAAGGTTAGACAATAGAAAAGCTAAAGTTATGACGTTTTTCATTCCATTTAGTTGTTTGGTAGTTGTTTGGTAGCCCTCATCATCTATAGTCAGTAAAACATTCAAATATGAAATAGATTAGGCAGATTCTGAAATGTCTCTGGGATATATCAAGTATGAAGTATATTGTTTATTTGGTGATTTTTGGCATTCCAAGAGTTGTTAAGAAAAACTTGGTCTCTGAAGACTACATAAATCTTGTCAATGAGGATTTCTAGCATCTCTTTAATATTAGTACTTTTGTGTTTTATGAAAGCGATTTGTATTAAGGAAGCAATTTTATTTGCTGAGTATCAGTCATAAGATCTGAGATTTTGTATGTTATTTTAAAAGAACTTAAGATACATCAATCCAAATCACATAATTATGCTTAATATTAAAAGTAAATATCAATGTCACATTGCGAACCTGTAGTCACCTTATTATAAATGTATTTACAATCTATCAAACAGAAAACGTGAACATAAGCTATATATGCATCCTTCGTTTGATATTAGTACATGTTTAAGCTGTCGTGATATCTATCATAGAATATCATTGGGTGTTTTGAACATTAATCTTTGAGAAGGATGATTACTAAGAGTAAAGTTCACAGAGCAATAGAGTCCATACTTTAAGCGTATGATCAAATGTAAATACACGAAGACTTCAGCACAAACATATGCATAAAAAATGATTGGAAAAATTGTGCTCGAAAAAAATATACTACTCTACCTAATAAAAATTCTTGAATTGTATGCTGCCATGAACGGAAATGCGATTTGTTTGGATGATAAGTATGTACATTTTATAACCATGTTACCTTTACTTGTACATTTTCATGACTGAATGAAGTTTAACTCGTTATTTCAGGAATAATACAAAGTGTTGCACAAACTACATTTATAATGCTGAGGAGGACCGATGTATAGGTAAATAAATTTTATTTTACCAACTAAAATTCCAAGGATCAAGAATAATATCAAATAAAAAATATTATATTTAAAAGACATAGGTAGAAAATTTGATTTAAAATATTTGACTCATCTCTGTATTCATGAATTAGAATAAGAGATGAAAAATATTCACTTTAATGTACGCTGGTTAGAGTGTGTCGGAAGATTTGGAGAGCATTGTTCAGATCCCTGTCCTGAAAGGTTCTATGGAGCTTCCTGTAGAAGGCAGTGTAACTGTTCAAGTGAGACTTGTCATAAAATCTGGGGATGTTTAAACGGTATGATCTCTTTCTCTCTCACTCTCAGAGACATTTAAATATATTTACATATTCTTTTATTTACACAATGCAATTATTCACAAGCAATAATTCTTGTACAAACTCAGATTATATGGATGATTCTAAAGGTGTCTGCTACGACAAACTGTAAGTTATATATATATATATATATATATATATATATATATATATATATATATATATATATATATATATATATATATATATATATATATATGTATATATATATAAAATTATTCTTTATTTAAACATATTGAAACGTTTAATATTCTAATTAATGTCACTTAATGAATGCCCAACATTCCTCTTGTAGGAATGGTTCTTTTTGCTGTGCAAACTACATATACATACAGGCTGAGCATAGATGCCAAGGTAAAAAAATGTTCTAAGTAGAGTACTTTTATTCTTTGAATACTGTATAACTAGTCAAATTCGATTCAATATCAATCGATTTATATATGTATATTCAAATATAACCTCGATTTACTGATGCCAACAAAGTGAATATATTTTTTGTAAAAGTTAAACTTAACTTTGATAAAACTTGTGGCAACTTTCTGCATTATTTTACATTTGTTTAAAGAGTGTGTAGGACGGTTTGGTGTGAACTGCAGTAGGTACTGTCCACGTGGATATTATGGAAAACAGTGTAACGAGAAATGTTCCTGTGAGGCTAACCATTGTGATAATGTTTTGGGTTGTCTATCACCTACCGCAGGTGCACACTATTAATATTTTTAATTATCAAGGTTTTATTGTCAACAATATTATTTCAATGATTTACACCGACTACCTTTGGGAAGGTTCTTTTACTACACCAAAAAGGCAGTCACTTTTTTTACCGGCTATCATAATAAGTCTATTGTTAGTGCTAATAGCTGATTGTATGTATGTCTACACGAGGCCTTGATCAAAAGCCTATTATGTATAAGTGATTCCGTTATCATTTGAATTTTATTAAAACATAATTACTCACTACAAACAATATTTGTTATGCTCTCCGGTGCGCCCTAATATTAGTCATGCTTATCAATTTCCTCATCTTAGTCTTCAAAAATTGGCAAAAATTAAGAAAATTCCCTAAGTAATAAAATATGTCGACATAATACATAAGAATTAAAAATATCACAATTATTCAGCCATTCTTCTTCTATTCATAGACTATTTCCTAATAAAGTGTTCCCATTTTTGTGGTATTTCACCGTAGAATCCTACCCTTTGCATATTCTAATATAATAAAAGCCTTATTTTGTATATTATTTTTCAAAAATATATTCTAAATTATTTTTTTCGATTCAAATGCTTTTTCCACGATTTAATCAGACAACCATCAAATTTACACTTAAAGATCTCTGAAAAATTGAAACTGACTCTAACCAGTAAATTTTTGATGGCTAGTTAAATACAAAAATCATATAATTCAAAGAAATGATTGTCGAAGTTCTTAAAGTTCAGACTGATTATCGAACAATGTAAAAGAAGAAAAAAAGACGAAAACCCGACCGGAAATAAATAAATAAAATCTACTGTGCAAAAATTATTCAAACCCTTGTTATCGTTAACCTCCGGTGCTGACAAAGAAACATCCGAGAGAATACGATGACAAATGCTATTAACCAATGAAAGTTACAAGTTACAATATGACTGACTTTTCATTCCCAGGTAAGTAGGGAAGAAAAAAAAATTCATTTAAAGTTATCATAATGGTTTGTTATAAAAGGATTACAATAGAAAAAATGATTATTTTTAAAAGTTGCTGTTTTTGCCTTTTTTAATCATTGTTAATCAAACAAAATTGAAAAAAATGGACTTCTTGAAATTATGGGAAAAACAAATCATACTAATCAACACGGTATGTTAAAATATTTATTCTGATGTAAGGCAGCTCGACTGAGTCAAGTTGATATATCTCTTCAAGCTTTGATGCTGTCGACGATGGCACTTCTCGAGGGCGTGGTACGCTAGCCCGAGGCCGGTTGGGGAAACGTGGTTTCCTGGTCAGCAAAGTGGACGCTAAAACGCTTTGGAATTTGCGAAGGTTATCAGCGACGTTGTGGCGAGGTGCATTGGGCTGGGTATCCGTATTCAGTACTATTCACCTATTCACAGGGACCGTAAGACCGCAAGGAATGAACGTACATTAATGTAGCACAAGCGGTTACCAAGATGGACTTTGATAATTTTTTTAATTTTTATTTTCTATATATTTGTACGTATGTTTTAAATTACAAATGGAAAAACAAATCTTATTATCACTGATCAAGCGATGGTAGTCGTGACATCCACCTCTGATGATACAGAGGTCTGTCTTTGCTCTGCTTCTGATTTATTTTGTAGGAATGAACTTATGAATTTGAAAACAGTTTGTTATTTTCATCTTTTATTATGCCCCCGCTTGAAAATCGGGAGGGTATATAGTAATTGGGTTTCCGTCCGTCTGTCTGTTACGCTTTGGGGTACCCATCTCTTATCTGCAACTCCTCTAATACCACTGAATGAAATTTGATGAGACTTTCAGAGAATCTGATGCCATTGTGCACCTCCTATTTTCCTTTTAGATCCGACACATATTTTGGGTTTCCCATAGCAAAATATTGACATTACCATTGTACTCATATGGGAGGTGGGGGATATCATTTAGTCAGCTCATTGCTTACAGTACCTCTAGTTTTAATCATGTACCATTGCTGGACACTTCATAGGGATATTTAACGTTTGTCATACATACAGCTTTCAGATTAATTTAAACAATAAAATGCTTTCTTTGGTTGTTAGTACGGGAATGAATGAAGCAGCTGGTGCAGAAAAAATGAATAATCCGCGTAATAGCTGCAATAGCTGCGACATTCACTCCCGTACTAACAACCAAAGAAAGACATTTTATTGTTTATATTTGTATCTGTTTAAATAATCACTTAAAATGGGATTAAAAAGATTAATTATTGTATTAATAATGCAAACGTCTTTGTATGTTTCATTTATGGAACAGCCACTGATCATGAAATCTGTACAGGTGACGTGTCTAGTGTAGTTCATGCACTGATTAACGCAATGGGTTTTCTTAAGAAATAAAGGTGAAAATATTCAGTGGATGTAAATATATTACATGTGAAGTTTCCTTTTCTCATTTTCTTTTTCGTGAATAGTATATGTACAAGTGCAATAAAGAAAAGTGATCATGAGCTTTTTTCTTGCAATGAAATTTGAAAAGGTTTATTCCTGCAGGTCTGTAATATGTTTTATGTCCTTCAGTAATGCTGTAATGTCGGTAGTGTTGGACAATGTGAAGGTTATACATTCCTTTTCTAGGTTCATTTCATGATAATTTATCATTATAGTTTCGGGCTTGTGCGTGATAATCGGGTATAAAGACAAATAATGACCCACATAGAATAATGAGAAAGAGTCATTTTTCGACGGCAAAAAAAATGACCCTCGGTTATTATTCGACGTAGAAAAATGATTATAGTTTCGGGCTTGTGCGTGATAATCAGGTATAAAGACAAATAATAAACCACATAGAATAATGACCGAGGGTCATTTTTCGACGGCAAAAAATGACCCCCGGTCATTATTCGACGTAGAAAAATGACCCTTTTGTCCGTAAAAAAGGCGTCATTACCCTAAAAATTTGCATACCCTACGTGAAGAAAAATGACCTCCGTAGAATAACGACCCCTTGTGTATTAAAGTTGAAATTTTTAGGAGGCAAATATAAACAATAAAGAGACCTATCAGCCAAAATGCTCACCTGAGCTAAATTGGGAATAAATTGATGATGTGTTGATCTCATTAAATTATACAATTATTACTACTTTAAGGTCAACGCATTGTTTCAGAATCTAGATAAGTAAAAGATATATTTGGCGCAAAGGGCTGGGTGAATATTGTTTTTCGATGGTGGAAATTCATCGTTCTGACAGAAAAATGCAGCAATATTATACTAAGTATATCATCCCACTTGAAAAGCGGGAGGTAATATTGTGATTGGGATGTCCGTCCGTCAATCTGTCTGTACGTCCGTCCGTATGTTACGCTTTGGGGTACCCATCTCTTATCCACAACTCTTCTGAATGAAATTAAATGAGACTTTCACGGAATCTTGGTTACATAGTACCATTGTACATCTCCTACAGTCTACTTTACTTTTAGATCGGACACATTTCTCGGATTTCCCATAGCAGAACATGGACATTACCATTCTTTCTATAATATCGAAAAGTATCCATCTCTTTTCCGCAACTCCTCCTGCATCACTAAATAAAATTTTATGAGACTTTCACAGATTCTTTATTACATATTCCCATTGTGCACCTCTTATTTTAGTTTTTGGTCTGATGCTCATTTCTTGTTCTGTAGTGCAAAGCATGGACTTTTCCATTATAATCATATGGGAGGCGAGGGCATGACTAAGTGACCACAGTGCTCACAGCACCTCTAGTTTAAATCTTGTTTTATTCCATCCTTATAGTCAGTTCTATGTACATTTTTCAGAGAGTTTAATATGAAAATCAGAACAAACATTTTCATTTTTGTAATGTTTTCTTCATACTTTTCAAGCTAAATATGAAAACAAAAAATTGCAGACTATTCCTTTGTATTATATATGCTTCGCACACTTACCCATAAAGTATCTAAATACCGTATAAGTAGAATTTTTAGCGAGGATTTCATTTTGGCATTATTAGCGAGGGTGCCAAGATCGCTAAAATTTAATATCGCTAATTATTAATATTGGTTTATTTGTAAAAGGTTCTTTAGTGAGCTTTTTAAAAATCGCTAAAATTACATCTCGCTAAAAATAAATTAGCAATTTTTAAGGTCAAATCGCTAAATTTGCGTCTCGCTAAAATTTCCACTTATACGGTAAACCATACACACTCAAAACTAGACGTACTGTGAGCTATGAGCTCACTAGATGATACCCCCGCCTCCCATATGACTATAATGGCAAAGTTCATGTTTTGCTCTGTGAGACCCGATAGTGTTGGTTGTGTTAGAATGTGCACATGGGAAGTGAGGGGTTATTTTTTAATGCCTCGATGAAATAATTCTTTATTGATAACAAACATGAAAGTAGTGAATAAAAGATTTTAAAATTAGCTTTATACTTTGTGCTAATGGTTGTTGATAATTTTTCAAGTTTTTTTTTTTCTCATCAGATATTCATTAATTTATGATTTTATAAAAAATTGTTTGCATGAACTGCTCATTAAGATGGATGTGCATAAGACATGGAATCAAAACGTATTGAGTTTCCTGGTATGAATAACAGTGACTAAAATTACTAATAACTTGTATAAGTTTTTAAGGCAAAAATCGTTAGTAAATATTGTTTTGAAAGCATTAATTATTACAGTTGCAAATGAACCACGATTTTTTTAAAATTCTATTTTGATATAGAACATTGGCATTATCATATAACATGACAAACATCCACGATATCAGCATGTTGAACGTCCTTTTTTGTCAGCATTGAGGCATTTTTTTTATATGTATGGCCTTTGTAATTGATTCAATAATTCTGTTATGATACTACCCTATCTTCGTCCTCGCAAGACAATTAATGGCCCTGAGTCAACACGATGATAACATGGACTTAACATTGAAAATATTTTTTGCTTTGCATAAATCTAAACTTGTAAATTTTGTATCACTCTAAAAGGGGTCATATTCCAAAGGGGGTCAATTTGTTATTGGATTCACTTATGAAATAATGACCCCTAGGGCTCTTTTTCCACAAAAATGATTTTTTTTTCTATGGATGGGGAGGGGGTCATTTTCTGTCGTTGAAACATGACCACCGATCATTATTTAATGGGGGTCATTATTCGTCTTTACACAGGCTTTTAGATTGTTCACGGCATATTAATTAACAGATCTGGACAGTCTAAGGTGAAATGTAGTACGATATCATGTGTTTTAATTTTCCATAATTTGGACATTGCTTTTTTTCATTTCAAACGTAACTGAACGAATTATGAGTTCAAATATTTTCAAAGTTGATTCTAAGTGCTGGAAACTAATCGTCCAAAGTGGATGGAGTGTAAGTTCGCGATGTATTTCCTCGAAATGGTTTATTTCTGGTCGACTTCGGGTGAAATAACTCATTCAATTCTCCAAGATTAAAGGTTTATGTTAATGATTGCTGATTTTCTGATTCCAGTTTAGTTTGGTCAGCGTTTCGTCGGGATCGTCAAACCGCACGTGACATTAGGCGCGTCTACGACACTGACGTCACATAACGTCGAATGCATGTTGCTTTAACCAGAGATGTATAAGAGATCTCTTATACGTCTCTGCTTTACCAAACCGAAGCCAGAACAGGGCTGATTTTAAGGAAGAACCGTTTTATTGACTATCAAATCAAGGCAAGTTTATTTTATTCGTTTAACCTATGTTAGAACGTTGGCTTAGCTTTGTTTACGAAGCGATGCATTGTGGGTCAAAATTACTGCGGCATAAAATTATATCGAATGAATGTGCAGTAGTCCGAATTTTCTCTTTGCCCAGGCGTTGCTTGAAGAGCTCGCAGTGACGAGCGCTCTGCTCGCTCAACTCACTATAATTCTGAATACTGCAAATCAGAGGTTTACGAACCCAACAAGTTTTACGGAAGAAAATATTTGTAAAACCATCCCTTCTTCTTTAACTTCAATATACCAACAATGGAATTGGCACGGTAAATATAAGTAAAATTTCCAATCTAAATAGGGTCAAGTTTTGTATTCAGGGATGGAATAATTGAAATGAGTAATTGTAATTTACCGTATAAAAATTCATTTTTTTTTTCAAATTTTAAAGGTTAAATTAGGTTTGCTTTCAGTGATGATCCATACCTACATGTATGCTTTCGTTCCTTCTCCATGATATGTATGTTTGTCTGTGGCATCGAAGAACAATCATCGTCTTTTTGTCTCTTGACCGTCTTTAATATTCCATATTAATTATTTTCAATTAACCCTTTTCTAAATTATACTTATTCGTAAATTTATTTAAAGTTTCCCCTTATGCCATTTTTAACAGTCTTTAAAAAATACAAATGTCAAATGGCTCTATGTATTTATAGAGACCAAGTCTTCCAAAGTCTTCCAATATTCAATCAGAATACCCATGATTACCAATGATGTACCAGTTGCGACCTGTTATAAGCAGCCCTACTTTTGAATTCATATAAAGCTGGAATTTCTTCGGGGACTTATAGATAAGAAGAAGACAAAACTTCATGTTATCCTTATCCGATGCTCTGAAAACAACTGAGATTGATCAAGTGCCATCAAGGAGTAAATATTCCCTGTCAACCGGTCACGCCCACCGTATACCCCTTGTCATAAGAAATGTTGACTTTAACCGAGGCCGTTGACATCCTTGTTTCATCAACTTATTTTTCAGTAGCTTATTGAACGAACATAGAGCATGTTTGAGTATCGAATGAATTTGAAGTCATAAACACCATGAAATTATGCAGGTGATAATGCTATTTGAATGAGGGAAGTTGATGATTGAAAAATTAAATTCATTAGGTTTATCATTACATTTTGTTCTTCGATAACCAATTAATGCCCTTTTCTAATGAAATAATTGCAAGAGTTTAACGTTTATGTTCATTTCGTATTTGTCATACAATCTGGTTTGGAACTGTTTAAGTAACAGAATGTGCAAACTTATGATTATGTGAATTCATTTATGATAAATATATAGTATACAAACAGGAAACACTAACTATTTCCAAGCATCATTTCTGATTTGGTATGATCACTTAAACACACTGTCATGATATTTATTATAGAAAATATTTGATTATCTTGAACATTAAACTTTTATGAAGGAAGTTAACTCAGAATAAAGTTCATGATGCTATTGAATTTAAACCATATGTGTATGATTAAACGCTCATACCAAATTGAAGATTTTACTCATGTATTTCGTAATTTTAAAAATGGATAAAGATAGCATGCTCGAAATTATTGTGCTACTTTACCTAAGCAATGCTGTTCATTTGTATGCTGCCATTGATGGAAATGCGATTTGTTTCGATGATAAGTAAGTGAATGATATGAGCATTTTATTTTTTACTTTGTTGAGATTTGAAAGGCTTATGGTTGATTCGTTATTTCAGGAATAATACGAAGTGTTGCATGAACTATGTTTATAAATCTGAGGAGGACCGATGCATAGGTAAATTAATTTGATTTTCCCCAAAAAGTCATCAGACAAAGATCAAGGCTAACATAAAAGTATGTTACGCATTATAAATGCTAGTACAATTGTTAATAAATATTTTAATTGACTCGTCTGTGTATTGCTTAATACAAATAATGGATGAAAAAAATATCCATTTTAATGTACGCTGGTTAGAATGTGTTGGAGGACTTGGAGAGGATTGTTCAGAGCCCTGTCCAGACGGATTCTACGGAGATTCCTGTAGGAGGAAATGTAACTGTTCTTATAATACGTGTCACCAGGTTTGGGGTTGTCTCGGAGGTAACATCTCTCTCTCTCTCTCTCTCTCTCTCTCTCTCTCTCTCTCTCTGAAACACAATGACATATATGTACAAATAAATTATTATTAATAAGCAGTAAAACTTACGCAAACCTAGGTACATGGAGTAACAAGGATGGTGTCTGTTACGACAAGTGGTGAGTTATATTCAAAGATATATACAGAAGAATCGAAACTGAGTCTGAATATATGATGATAACCGCCATTATAAAACATTAAAAAGCCTGCATTTTTGTTGCAGGATAGGTCTTTTCTGCTGTGCAAACTACATGTACGTAGAATCTGAGCACAGATGCCAAGGTAATCATAAGGTTTAAGGTTGAACATTTTTGATAAAAGAAAAATATGTTCTAAGTTGAATTCTATTTTTGTTTGTGAATTGGTGGCGGAAAATCCAATGTAGTTGGATTTTTGTTGGCCTATTGTTTGTTGCCACCTTATTTTTCAGCTTAAATGTTTGATAAATTTGTGTTTTTGAGTATTGCCTTGATGTTATTTTAATTTTTGGGAGATCCATAACATGGTGTAGATATTAATTGTAGAGAGTCATAGGATCTCCCAAATTTCATGTGTTTCATTTATGTCATCAATAAATGACATATTTACAACAATACTCATTCTTGGTTCTTCATTCAATCTGAATAATAACAGAGCATTTTTATCATAAATTCTATTTTTATTTGTGAATTACATGTTAATCAAATGCTTTCAATCATAATTTTTAATTTTATTATATCAGATGTCTTAGATTTGTATATCAAATCTTTACCATTGTTTTATTGTTGTGAACTTATTGTGAAAATATTTGTCTTGTAAAATATATAAATTATAATTATTCAAATATACATTTTTAAGAATGTGTAGGATGGTTTGGTGCTAATTGCAGTAGTAAATGTCCTGATGGGTTTTACGGAAAACAGTGTATCGAGAAGTGTTCCTGTGAGGCTAGACATTGTGATAAAGTGTTGGGCTGTCTGTCTGATACATCGGGTATAGTACAGATCCATAGTATTTTTTAAAATGCTAAGAGCAGGTGTAAATAGATTTAAATATAGAATAATTAGGAATCTTACTGCTCACACTATTTCATCTTTTGTACCGACTACCAAAATTTGTAGTTGTACAGTCAAATGAGAGACGCAAACTAGAGAGGGCTTTTCCATATGCCTTATCCGCCTTGCTTTCTGTCGTAGTTTTATTGGTTTTAATAGCTCTAGGAATGGCTTACAGGTTTGTTTTATACGTCAATGGTTTGTAAAATTTATGAAAATATTTAAAAAGTTTAAAAAGCATGTATATTTACATAACAAATTCATTTTCTGAGTGTAGTTAATTAGATAATAAATTTATAGACCTTGAATTATCTTATGACTTAGGTTGAAAAGAAAACACATTGAAATTTCAAAAGCCAGCAATTCTACACAAGGTAAATTTGCAAAAATTGTTCGCTTTTTTATTTCCAGTAAAAAGACTAAATGTAATAAAAACAAAATAGAGATGAAACTATTTTTCCTTTTTTTTTCAAGATGACAACGGACAGAGAGGTACAGGTACCTCAGATGTATATGCCACTGTGTTACATCCAATCAAGAAACCTCTTCGGGGTATACAACAAAACGATATGACCTATGATAATACACTGATTCCTGAAACATCAAACCAAGAATATGGAAGATCGAATACTTTGCAAAGTAGCACTTCCTTCATTTATAAAGAAAAACAAACGCTTCGAGACCTCAACACCCCATACAGCATGTGTATAGGACTAGAAGACGACTACAATGATACCGTTTGCATTCCTTCATCCTCAGACTCGCAAAGAGAAAACATTGGCATCCAGAGCAGCTCAGTGGATAGCTATGACGTCACATTGTATGATGACATAGACATTGAGGGAGACTGTGTTGATCAGAGAGAGACATATGGAACTGAAAACCAGTTACATCATACCATTGACGCATGAATGGTACATTCGTTCTAATTGTAATAAATACACATGTATAATACATCCTGTGAATACAGAGAAGTTCACATAATTGAAATACTGATTGCTTTCCTTTTATTCATACTTTAGAAATAAATGTATGCCATCATTGATGAATTATTATAAAAATTAAGAAACGTGTTTGAATTAAAGAATGGAAGTTTTTTCTTCCTTTCAATAAACGTCGTAAGTGAGTCAATAGGAGAGGTATCCATGCAGCGCCGTCACAAAGCCAGTTCAGCTAAGTACCTGTTGACCCATACTGAGTGAGAAAATAATTTGCGTTTATTATTACTAAAGAGCACTTTTTTTCTGATAAATTATCCAACCAGGCGCCGGGCGACTTTTAATTACTCCGCACATATTAAAGTTGAACTGCGGTACAAAAGTTGGTGCAGCATGCTGCTAGACAAACCGCCTTAAAGGACATTTTTTCGTAATTTTACATCGAGATAACAACAACAAACCTTTCTACTTTTTTTTTTGGTTTTTCAAGAAATCTTTAAAGAAAACATAACGTTTATTTTTTTTAATTCCTTTAGTGAATTTAGAAAAAGAAAATTAAAAATTTCCCAAACGTTTCGATATGAGTGAAGAAAATCTACGAAAGAGTCGATATTGAAAAGACGGAATGATTATCTCTGTGGTTTGGTTCATGTCATTGGTTATATAAAAGTTTACAATATCACCGGGATTTGTCTACAGATTATATTGTCTGGAAACATACAATTTTTTTTAACTCTATGTACATTGTTCCTTCATTCATCTGCTTATCAAAGGTTGATTTTTTAAGTCAAATTTACAAAATTTGATTTGTTCAAAGTAAATCACTATTCGATAAACTATGGCAAGTAAAACACAGAAAGTATTATTTTATGAAAATTTATTGTTAAAGGTTATAATTTAAAACAGTTCTGAAATACAACAGTGCTTCAAATTACGCCGAAAAAAGCACATGTATTGTTTCAGAAAAATCTGTTTGTCCGAATCAGATTAATATGTTGAAGTTTCCCGTTTTCTTTTTTTTATTTTTGAACTTTGGTTTTGAATTCATTAGATGATCAATTGAATGCCATCAGCTTATTCATACCTCACGCCATACGACAGAACACTTAAGCTAACCAGCTGTTTTAAACAAGTATAAAAGGTCTATATATTCCTTAGTTTTAGAAAGTAATGATTATTTAACATATTTTCTTGCAAACAAGTATCAATGATTGTTATTTCAAAACGTTCACATGTTTATTTGAAAATCAAAGAGCTGACTTAAATTTAAAGTTCAGTCTTTTTTTTGCCATCATTGACAGTTCTTTTTTTAGGAAATGAAACTTGTACTGATTTTCGTCGTTTACGACCATTTTCTGGATTCTCAAAAAGAAATTTTATTACAGAAAATGAAAGCATCAAGTGTCTACTTTATTTTGATATATGAAATGGGAAAGAGGGTGATAATTAATTGATATAAGTACAGGGTCATTTTACGCATTAAGTGAACCTAGTTCTTTTAAATTGCAGATTTGAAGACCGCAACATATCGCTACTGGATTTTCATTATTCTAGGCACGCTAATCATTAACAGTATACCAATAGCGATTGCAATTAATGCTTTCATATCAACTAGAAAAAGGTTTGAATATTTTCGTTCAGATTTCTCGAACCAAAGTAATCCAAAATTTCAAGTTAAAACCCTGTTTGCTATAAATGCACAAGGTACAATTAACAGTCAGTCGTATACGCACCATGTTTGCTTAGACGTCATATGAAATATAAATATATTCTTTTAGACAATAGATTCTTATATTCTTTCAATCCCATAGGAACGCCATAGGCAAACAGGACAGCAATCAAGAAACAGCTAGAAGAAAAGGAAAATTAAACGTATTCTCAGGTGCCTTGCTAAAACGTTTTCGAAGAGCAGCGTCTTCTGATGACGATGGCGAAGAAGCTAAGGATCCGAACGAAAGCAGTCTGGAGTCACCTAAAAGACGAGGAAAGTTAAATGTTTATGTTGACGCATTACTAAAACGTGTGCGGAGAGCTCCTCCTCACAATGACGAAGATCCTAATAAACCTACAGAGGATTATTTTGCTATGAGGATGTCCATGGCTCCACCAAAAGATAACGTTCATCACTTTACAGGTTGCGACGAAGAAGATGAGGATGACATTGAAGAAGAAGAGTACGTGGAAATGAATGTACAAGCTAATGAATAATTAAACGTAAAATTTAATGTGCAATCTAATGAATAATGATATACAAAATTTAATGTGAAATCTAATGAAAATTACATGTAAAATTTAATGTGAAATCTAATGAATAATGATGTGTAAAATTGAATGTGCTACCTAATGAACAATTATATGTAAAAATGAATGTGTAATCTAGTAAATACTCGTAATTATATGTAAAAATGAATGTGTAATCTAGTAAATACTAGTAATTATATGTAAAAATGAATGTGCAATCTAATAAATACTTATTCTAGCAATTATATGTAAAAGTGAATGTGCAATCTAGTGAATAATTATATGCAGAAATGAATGACAATTTATTGAATAATTATATATAGAAATGAATATGGAACCTAGTTAATGATACCATGTAGAAATGGATGTGCATTTTAGTTTAAAATGGCTGTTTGACATTCATAGACACCGATTTACACGTCTTTTTAATTTGCGATATTATATTAAAATATATGCCCTTTTAATCTTAGCATGGCAATTAATCAATAAGTAGATGTCAATGATTTAAGTTTCTAATTATTAGATATTACTTGACATAAGAGGATATTATCATTTAACTAGTTTGCTCAAATGCCACGGAAACCTGTATCTGTAATTGTTAAACATTTATGGATTTCTTAAGTATTTCCTTGCAACACCATTCCATTTAAATTTGAAAAGAGGAACTCGTTGAGAGCAATTGAACGCTAAAGCAAGAGTCTTCTAATTTTCATGTAGAAGAAATGTATCCTCATACCAAAAACACCAGGTCTGCTAAAAGTGTGGCGCAATTAGAACACACAATTTTCAACAGATTGTTTAAAGACTCCGTTTCAAAAAACTGCTTAGATATTGTCAATGAGAAACTCGTACAAGTTTTTGAATATTCACATGGGAGTACTTTTGTATAGCATTAGAATTTTTTTAAAAATGCTAAGTTGGCAGATGACCAGTGGTAAGAAATCCAAGCTTTCGAGTCACAATTTTATTGAACTAGTAATTGTCTATGATGCCAAAATGTTTTTCTTTATTTTATCTCTGCAAAATTTTGGGATATGAATAAATGAATATTCCACCTAGTACTTGAAAGCATGAAGGTATTTTCACAGAAATAGTTAATAGCAAAATGAAAACTCGATTGAATTTGTATTTGTTTGAAAATTAAGGAGACAGTTTTAAAAGGTAAATTTTAAGCTGTTGATGTTCAGAAAAAATTTCTTACAATTTCCTACAAGAAGAGGACAGATACCAGGAAAACAAGGCTGTTTTAAGATGCTGATTCTTGTGGTTGCCCATCTAAATTGCTGAGCTTAGGTCATTTTGCGACTGTATATAGAAGGTCGTTCAGTTTGACTTCGACGTTTTAGACGAGTTTGGATACAAGTGGAGGTAAACAAAGCTGTGTTCTAGCGCTTACGCTTTTCAGCAACTGATTTTCATGCTCAGGTGGAACTGCAGAGATGAAAAGATAAATTCCCTAAGTTACCTTTCGTGGGCCAGGGAGCTCCATACCACCCACCATCAACGAGGAAAATTTGGAAGTCGACACACAAATCCAACACAAAGGTTCTACACTACTGACAACCTCTCAAGAGAAATAAATATCAACAAACTCATCGAATTAAGACATATTTACAATTGCCAATGTCTTTCCTTATATGACAATACTAAAAAAATGAAATTCAATTTTCAATGACATGCAGTTGGTCACATGATCAGACTTTCTTGCGTATGGAAAGCAAACTACTCGAGATATTTGGAAAGTCTTGACTCTGACGTCATATTACGTCGTATTTATACGTTATTTTGCATTCAATAAATAAGTCTAAATAGAGTATTTTATCTTTGTACTGTGAATAGAAATAGAAATATAAATATAGGAAATAAAATATCATTTTTAGAGTGTCAAATGGATATGACATGAATACGGTATGTGTTCAAATCTACGCCCTAAGGGCGTTATAGAATTTGATCACGTGACCGACTTCATGTCATACCACAATGTCACTCTAAAAATGATATCTTATTTCTTAAATAATTATCCAATCCTTTCTGGGGGAAACACAAGAGCATATACAATTTAACTATCCGATGATGTCCCTTCTTTTTCAGAGATATATCTTCGATGGATAGGCCACCAGAACAGAATGGGTGTATCCCCAAGGATCTTCTTTATAGGAACTTGCAGCAGACACTTCTACTTCTCGGTTGTTACCAAAGTGATATGAATGCTTGCGGCATAGAAACAAATAGTTTAGAAGTATTTGCATGCAGAAAGAATATTTTGGAATTTCGTTTAAAGCGAATTACTGATAATGAATAAGTTGATAAAGATCAGATCACAGAAAAAGACTTAAAAAGATAAGCAGGAGAATAACTTCAAGAGAACAGAAAAATGTAACACTCTTTATTTGTGTCAACTGTTTCTGACAGTGCAGAACTAGGACATTTTTACGTCCCGTTAGAGACCTTTTCACTCATATAGCGTTAAATGGTTTGAAATTAAAACCTTTACTTGGCATTCAAGCTCATTGAGAAGTAAAGGATCTTTAGCGTGGAAACGCCTGTATTGACACGGGGATTTGAAAGCTCGTTATCACTGAACCAGATGAAATGTCAATGTTTTCTCTACATCTTTGTTTATTCTTAAGCATCATTGGAATTTCTTTTGTTTTTATTCAATTGCCAGCCAGAGATCTTTGTATATCACCATCCTTTGTATATCATCCTGATCCAACATACGGCTCAAGGCGACTGTAAGGGATGCTTACTCCTCCTACTTCCTAAGCACCTGATCCCACCTTTGACATTTCCAGGGTTGCGTCTTTTTTGCCCTCTTCTCATATTTGTACTGTTCAAGGATTTTTTGACACCGATCACTGTTCATTATCGTTATCTTTTACATTGTAAAAGAAAAAAAACCATATAGCTGTTTATCTGTAAGTGGTAAAGGATGGTTCACGCTTTTACGATTAAGGAATTCGCTCATCACATTGATGAAGAGGAAAAGAAGTGACAATGTCGACATGAAGGAAATGGTTAAAGTCTACTTTAAAATATATCAATCACTGGTTACGCTCACATGTTCTAATATACATCTAAACTTAAATTATTTAAAAAAATCTGACAAATGCAAAAACTATTTGACGAGTTAGCAGTGAGACCAATATGAATATGAATGACACAGGGCTCTGTATTACCAAGTAAGTTATCAACAAACACTTCTTATATCACTAGTTATGTTATAGTATGCATTAGTTATCTTATGCATTTAAGAATATTGGATTGTATCAGTCTGGATTTATGAATAAAAAGAAGACAAATTTGTCGTAAAGATGTATCTATTTGTTAAGTAGAATAACAGAATTATTGTACAATATATTTAAAATCTACATAACACTCATATCCATTGTTTAGAAAGAAAGCAGAATGCTGTACAAATTACAAATTAATCAGCGGCAAGTGTATACGTGAGTAGATATAAAACATTTTGATTTAAGCTGAGATACAGGTAATTTTTATTTTGTATACAATAACAGGCAATTACTGAAAAAAAAACACAAAATTATATCTATGATAGAACAGAAAAGTTTAGAACAAAAAGATGTCTTTATATTTGTGATTTAAATTGCTAAAAAGAAGTGAAGATGTAATTACTCTGTTTGATTTACATGTAACACATTATACGGGAAAATATTTTTATATACATGCATTTACTGATCTCATTCAACAAACATTAATATTAGAGAATGTTAATTTTGTTTAAATTGCCTCCAGATTGCCTTGGATCCTTTGGAAAAAACTGCACACAGCCGTGTCCATATGAATATTATGGTTATGGATGTTCGAAGAAATGCAAATGTACATGGAACAAGTTCTGTGATCCAAAACAAGGATGTCAAACTGTATATAATACAATGAGTAAGTGGTTCCTGAGATATTCTTAATTTTACGATTTAACTTTTTTTTACTTTCTTAGTCCTTCAGTTTTTTCTCTTTTTTTCCATTTTTCTTTAATCAAAGGATCCATGTCCATCAAACTTGCAAGAGGTCATCCTTTGGCAAAATCAAATCTAAATTCAACAATTATGCATCATTCAAAGGGTATCAATTTATAAAAGACAAAAATTGAGATTGCTTGCTAAAAAATCTTGTTTAAAACCACCTGGTCAAAAACTATTAGTAAATTATTGACGATGGAGCAGGTACGCACAGCTAGAATAGGGGATCGAACCTTTTCATGAAAGGGTTATGATAAGTTAAAAAAAATAAAGAAGTGGACCATAAACAGGAAAGGTAAGACTAGAATGGGGATTGAACACAGCAAGTCCGTGATATTTTGATATTTTACCAGCATCTTTAGCTACTGCTGTTTAAGCTTTGTGAGATTTATTGACTCGAGATAGACTGAGACCCCTTTAACAATAAATTATTGAATTAACAAAGTATTTAAAGAAAATTGTACCTTTTGGCAATAAAAATAAATGAATTATTATCTTTTTTATTCTCACTAGTTTCTTTTCTTTCTATTTTTTAAATGTTTAGTTCCAGCTGTAACCGGGGGAGTTGTTTTGACTGTTGTGCTTTACAGGTTAGTTTGAATGCGCTATGAATCATGTATTTTTTCCTTTAAGTATCGCATTAAATGGATGTTGAATTAAAATGTTCTTGATTGATTTAGATGCTATACAAAGCGATGCCACATAACAAGACAGAAGAAAGGTGAAAACTTCTGAAATTGCTGGTATCTCTATATGGTGGATATACTCCTAGATCTTTAAAACGTTTTAAATATGTTTTTTGTTACTATTACGTGTTTTACATGAGAAACAGAGTCAAATACGAGGAGAACATCGTAAGATATTGTAGCTAACTGCTTTTTGTGTTTCTTTTGGTTACCTGATAGTTTAGCCTTTACAGAATTCTTGATCGTGTTTTCTTCAGCTTGTCTCTCGTGTTATACTCCAAATCCAAAGCATACACATTTACAACAATGATTTATGGTAACTTTTGTTGGCATACTCACATATAACTAAGCTTCATTGATAACTTTGTCAAAAGATTTTAAAATACCTAAAACATGGTAGTCTTCATTTTACAGACAACATTACACAACTTAAGAAACTTGACCATTCTTCAAAGACCTTTAAGAGAGGATATGAGGAACCAGACAATAACTTGAATGAGTACTCCCAGGCTAATATTTCACAATCTGGGGAGGCATATGATAGGACTCATTGCTTTAAAGATGGAGGGATACTAGGTGGCGATGTGTATTCTGTGTCAAACACTTACTTAGGCATTCATGTATCTGAAAATCTTTATGATAGTACATCTAAATAATTAAATTAATTCAATACGCCATCATAAAAGTTTTAAATAGAATTATTCCTGACACGTGTAGGATATATTTTCTAATCCATATTTCATGAGTTAAATAAATTCAATAGCATCATAATCAATTGATGTATTGAGGAAGTTATATAATTTTATGTATCTTCAATGAGTGCCATCCGGAAACACTGTCTGAAAATTATTCTCATTTTTTAAAAAAGTTCACAGAAACACTTTAAAGACTTTTTCAAAAAAAATATTATTTTAATAATTGTAAATAATAAGGATCATAATTGCCATTGACTTATAAATGGTAATGATAAATTCTTTCAAAATTATTGTGATATGTATGTGCATTACTTTATTGAATGTTGTTTTCGGCTTTTGAATTCAGGGGAATAGACATATTATTGTTTTATTATTTTTTGTATCATGAATTGCAATAGGAACTCTAGAAAAAACGAAATTGAAATCTGCAGTGAATTAATACTATAATATGACATTTGGCACAATACATGTACGTGACATTTTTAAAAACTCTAACTTTAATACCTCTTTGTGTGAAATCCAGAACTTGTACTTGGACCCATCCCACCCGTCTGTATTTCGTGCCAGAATATTTTTAAAAATTCATTCACGTGTACTTTTTCATTTTAGAACTTGTCTACAAAGTTTAAGAATATTATTTATTGCTGTGCAAACTTCATCTTTTTATGGGATGAACAGGGGTGACATGGGGAAAAACTGAAACACACAAACAAACACCAATAAAAAAAAATGCTGAATTAGCAAATGTCATCAATTGCATAAACAGAAAATAAAAAAGCATACACGTTGTATCATTCTTTCTTTAAAATGTATTGATAAAATTAGTTTACACTTTAAGAGATAACAACAAACAAAATGGGATTTCAGATATACACTGTTGCATCCAACCAACTAGGGAACGTATTAGGCTTTTTAAACAAAATAACATATGTAAATATATCGTTTCTTCGAACTCTAAGCCAAAAATGAATAGGTCGATGACTTTACACATGCTTTTAATCGATAAATATTTTGAATTTCGGGATTTTCTTTTACTGGCGATTATTTATCGCAGCGAATCATTTATTTTGCTGTGTATTTGTAGAGAGAGTTTCCCTAGGTCGGAAAATTCATCATCGCGGATAAAATATGACGCGAATAATAGTGGTTAGCAGTACCTTAAGGATTTCATTTTTAAAATTAAATTCGATTATACTTTTGACGACAAATACTATATGTGTACTTCAAAAATCATATTTAAGGGGCTTCGGCGCCAAAAAATCAAATATATAAACAATACACGACAAGGACATTGCAAGTGCAGCACTAATACATGATTTCACCGACAACTTCAAACAAGTAATTGTGCAAAATTTTGAAATCAATGCTTCTATTAATGTACACTTACAGTGACTGGAGATCTCAACTCCTCAAACAGGGTGTTAAAAACAAGTTGTGAACTATGAAACTGTTTTCATCTTCTCATCCTCAGGTATTCCCAGAGAAACAAAATATGAAAATTTCGAAGACAATCAAACTCAGAAATCCATTTATATTTACAAATCGAAAGAAATGCTAGCAATAACCTCTAAAAACACACGCAACAAAAGAGGGAACATGTGCAATAGAGAAGTAGCATGTCCTGTCAGCTGGTTACACCCAGCTAGTGTACTCCTGTTTTCAATCGGGCAAAAGGAAGAATTAATAAACAATAAATAGAGTAAATAGTCAGTATGGACAATTTATAATGAAAAACATAGCTTTTCGACAAAACAATTTATTTCATTTTCTGACAAGGTCATAGTATAGACAATAAAACTTGCAAAAGTTTACTTTAATTGAGATGACTGATAAACATTCGGTATTGAAGGCAGATCAATGTTTGTGTCACTGTAAAAGGTGAAGATAACAGTCATCAATCTCCAAAAAAAATCTATAAACAAAACAAATATGCAAAGAAGACATAAATAACTGACCCCTAGAAATTCAAAAAGGTGGCTTCAGGTGCTTGAGAGGAGTAAGCACCCCTTGTTGACCGGTCACTACCGCCTTGAAATTAGCTGTAATTTGATACATCATATATCACCCGATTCCACCTCTACTGTTTTGGAGGTCCGTGTTTGTTCTGCTATTTTGCGTTGTTGGATGGATTTGTGATCTTAAATACTCTTCGCTATCTCCATGTTTCATACATTATGTTGTCAGGTCTAATATATATATATTTCCATTGCTAATTTTTTTCTCTATGATAACTTTTTGAAACACAGTCATTATCAACCATAAAAATGATGATTTTAAACAAGGCTGATGAAATCCCTGGAACATCAATTTAATTGTGATTAGCTTGCTTTGCTAAAATTAATCAGACTCAGGACAAGCTCTTGTGTAGCGAATAAGTTTGAGGACCTGAACACCATAAGCAGGTGATTGTGAAATATTAATGCATCATAAAAATGGTTAGACGATGGAATAGTTAAAGTTATCACGTTTTTCATACCAGTTAGTTGTTAGTTAGCCCTCATCATCTATAGTCAGTAAAACATCCAAATACGAAGAAAATGAGGCAGACTCTGAAATGTCTTTATTTCTAGTTCACTGGGATATATCAAGTCGACATATGAATGAAAATATAGTTAATCAATAAAATATTGTCGATATATCTGAATATCGATTTGAAAGCTACAAACTGTCCTTAGTCAATCAATTGCATGGGAAGGCAAACTCTCTTATGTATGCGGTGAAGCAGCGCACAGGTGTACACCGTCTGGACCTAAAACGTCCAAGTCGTTGAGGTTCAGGTTTGGCCCCAGCTGTAAAATAGCGATGCTTGCAGCAGATACTTGCAGGATGTTTGTTATCACAACTTCTTGTCGAAAGAATTAATAATAAGATATGCCAGTGGGGTATACCATGGGTACATTCAACCAAGAAAAATGTGAGGATTGTACAGCAAAATGATACATGTCTAAATACATTGTTTCTTGAAACACTAAACAAGGAAATATAGAGGACCGAGTACATTAATTAGAAACAAAAATCAATTATTTTTAAAGACAAACAAATATAACAGGGAACCTCAACTCTCCAAGCATCATGTGTTTAAAATTAGCTGTACACGATGACACTGTATTCAAAAATCCGGAAGGATAGATGGTTTTACATATTGACCCTCAATCTTTTAATTTTAAACATTTTAGCGACAAAGTGTTAATGTCTTTTTTCTCATATGTGGCCCATTGCCTATTAGAATCTTTACAGAATCCATAATATTCATGAACAAGATTGGCATAATGTTCAATATATTCAAAAAGTAGTGTGAATCAGATGTAGATACTCAAAAATTCCAAAGAACTTTTGGACAATTTGAAATCACAAGATTTTACCAAAATCAACAGCTTAAAAAGTTACGACTTTTCAACTTTATACACAACCATTCCCACGATAAATTCAAGTCCAGGCTCTTTGATATCATTGACAGCTACTTTTTCAATAAAAATGGAACTCGTAAATTTACTTACCTGGTCATTGGTCATTTACAAAATCATTTTGTTAAAACACATTCTGATTGCACACACAAGTACTCTGAAGTTGACATAAAAAAGATGCTTGAGTTTCAGATTGATAATATCTATGTGGTTTTTGGAGACCAGGTATTCAAACAATCTATTGAATTTATTGGAATTCCCATGGGTACCAATTACGCCCCGTTATTAGCAGACCTATTTTTGTATTCATATGAAGCAGAATTTGTCCAAAATCTTATACGTGAGAAGAAGAAAACACTTGCCGTGGCCTTCAACTCGACATTTAGATATATCGACGACGTATTGTCAATTAACAATGTTAATTTCCATTCCTTCGTCGTTACAACATATCCTGGGGAGCTTGAGATAAAAGATATCACAAAGTCTGACACATCTGTTTCATACTTGGATATTTTACTTGAAAAAGACGTTAATGGTAATCTAACAACCAAGTTATATGATATGCGTGATTACTTTAACTTTTCTATCGTCAACTTCCCTTACTTATGCAACAATATACCTTCATCACCTGCATACGGAGTGTATATATCTCAGTTGATTCGATACGCAAGAGCATGCTGTACGTATGAATAATTTCTAAAACGAGGTAAATTACTGACAAGCAAGTTGATGAAACAAGAATACCATCAGTCTCGTTGAAAGTCATCATTTCGTAAGTTCTATGGTCGATACAATAACCTTGTCAACAAATACAATTTTTCATTGAGTCAAATGCTGACTGACGTTTTTCATACTAATTGTTAGTCCATTATTTATACACTGAATTGATGACGGTTTTTTCGTGATTTCCCGATCATGACAAGGAGCACACGGCGGGTGTGACCGATCATTAGGGGATGCTCACTCCTCCATGGCACCTAATCCCACCTCTGATGTTTCGGAGGTCCGTGTTTGCTCTGCTCCAATTTTGTGTTGTTTTATGGACTTTGATATTGAATACTGTTGTTTATTTCCATATCCTTCTTTCAGATATTCGATATCCTGGCCTTGTAAAGTTTTCTTTAATTAAAAAGTTTGGAAGCAAAAGTCGATGCATATTTGTAGGATATGCAAGGTTTAGTATTTTACATGAAACATGGTGGAATACAAGACTGGACCCTATTGTGATTAAAAAGATTACTTATATTAACCGCATCAATTCTGCTATTGGCATATTGAAGTTTAAGGAAAAACGGATTGTTTTAGCTGCATTTTCTTTAGTAAAACATGGGGGTTTAAAAAGCCTATGAGTTTCAAAGGGGCAGATTAAAAGTTTAGTGTGAATTTGATGTATGCCTAACTTGATTAACATAGATGAAAGGTTGAAATGAATCAAACGAAACATCGTGTATGAAAGATTTATTGTAAGACCGATGCCCACAAGTACGCTTACGTAGTGTATAATTTAAAAAGTTCCATCACATTTACATTGTTAGACTGTGGACTGGAAAGATTTTCAACACTATCATCAGTTATTACACCCATAGGGAAAGGCTGTCCCTAGTTTTCTACTCCAAAATTCTTCTTAATTTTTATGGAAAGGTGTACTCCGGGATGGACTGTTTGTGGGGTGTTAAATCTTTTTTAGGATTCTCTTTCATTGGCAAAAAAGAATAACCAGGTAAATCATGTGAAAGTAATAAATGATTATTTGGTAGCGCAAACTTCAAGTAGACTTATCATAAATGTATTGATAATATAGTTAAACAGAAATCAAAACGTAGACCGATCATCCTTGATTTAGCATACACATATGATTATGCTGACATGATATCTCTCGTAGAATATAATTGAGTCTTTTGAACATTAACCTTTCATAAAGGAAGTTCACTCAGAATAAAGTTCACAGTGCAATAAAGTCAATACTTTAAGTGTATGATCAAATGTTAATGCGATTTCAACACATACAAATGTATATTTCATAAATAAAAAAAATGAATGAAAAAAACGTGCTGGAAAAAAGCATACTACTTTACCTAATTAAAACTGTCCAACTGTATGCTGTCATGAACGGAAATGTGATTTGTTTGGATGATAAGTATGTGAATACTAAAACCATGATATTTTCATTAGTATATTTAATGACTGAAAGAAATTCATTTTGCTATTTCAGGAATAATACAAAGTGTTGCACAAACTACTTATATAATGCTGAGGAGGACCAATGTATAGGTAAACTCATTTGATTTTTCTATCAAAGACCAAGGGTAATATCCTATAAAATATTTGCGTTATGAATAAGTACCAAGATTAATAATACAATATTGAAACGCCTCATCTGTGTTTCCATGAATAGGGCGGAGAGATAAGCAAATTAATTGCATTTTCAACTTTAACATTAAAAGCGAACACGATAAATAATAAAATACTTATTCGAATCAGCCGTATATTTATGAACAGGAATGGAAAATTAATGGATGAAAATAATATTCATTTTAATGTACGGAGAATGTGTCGGAAGATTTGGAGAAAACTGTTCAGAGCCCTGTCCTCATGGGTATTATGGAGCTTCCTGTAAGAGTCAATGTAACTGTTCTAGTGAAACGTGTCATAAAATCTGGGGCTGTTTAGAAGGTATGATTTCTCTCTCTCTTTCTCTCTCTCTGTCTGTGACACACAATTGGACACGAAAATTGAAATTATTCAGACGCTGTTAACCTTATACAAACTTAGGTACACAGAATAGTACGGATGGTGTATGCTACAACAGGGAGTAAGTTATATATGATTTTTTTTTAAATTTAGAGTTTTATGAGTATATATACAAAATACCCCAATTATATAAATGACCAACTTCTCTGTTCCAGGAATGTTTCTTATTGCTGTGCAAACTATATGTATTTGGAGACTGAGCAAAGATGTCAAGGTATTTTTAAGTTTTAAAATTTTCGACGAAACATTTAATTTCTAGTATTTCTTTATTTTCTAGTACATTATTTATGATATGATTACACTTTTTTTCTTCTTGTGAACATTACACAAGATTGTCTCGAACAATTTAAATCAAACTCTAAATGAAAAAATATAGTGCTCTTTTATGTTTTAACTTTTCTTTAAAGAGTGTGTAGGACGGTTCGGTATTAACTGCAGTAGGGAATGTCCACGTGGATATTACGGGAGACAATGTAATGAGAAGTGCTCCTGTGATGCTATCCATTGTGATAACGTTCGGGGCTGTCTATTGCCTACAACGGGTATAGTAAAGATCTATGTACGGTATTTAAATGCTAAGACTGAGTATAAGTTAATTCAAAAATGGTTGTCTTACTACTTATACGAATTTTATTGTTTTGTTTCGATAACGAAAAATTGTAGTGGTACAGAAAAACGAGAGACGCGAGCTAGAGAAGCATTTTCCAGTTGTATTATTCACCTCGCTTTCGGCAGCAGTTTTGTTGGTTTTGATAGTTCTAGGCATTGCTTACAGGTCTGTTTTATATAAATCAATACTTTGCAAATTTTATGAAAATATTTCCAACATTTTTCCAATTTTTATTGATATAATAAAATTAATTTTCTGAGTGTTGTTTGACATTTTCTAAAATTGTTTTATGACCTAGGTTTAAGAACAAACACATTGAAATTCCAAATGCCAACAATTCAACACAAGGTAAATAGGAAAAAAGATGTTCTTTTTCGAATTAGAGAAAAAGACTAAATGCCATGAATTCATGTTAGATGACACTATTCCCCCTTCTTTTAAAGATGACAACGAAGCGACAGGTTACTCAGATATATATGCCGCTGTAATACGTCCAAAAAGGAAACCTGTTAGGGGTATACAGCAAAACGATATGACGTATGATAATACATTGATTCCCGAAACATCTAATCAAGAATATGGAGGATCGAATACTTTGCAAAGTAGCTGTTCCTTTATTTATAAAGAAAAACAAACGCTTCGAGACCTCAACTCCCCATACAGTGTGTGTATAGGGCTAGAAGACGCGTACGGTGACACTGTTTGCATTCCTTCATCCTCAGACTCGCAAAGAGAAAACGTTGGCATCGACCACAGCTCAGTGGATAGCTATGACGTCACAGTGTACGATGACATAGATATTGAGGGAGACGGTGTTGATCAGACAGAGAGATATGAAACTGAAAACCAGATACATCATAACATTGACGCATGAATGGTGCATGAAACTTTGCAAATGAATTGTATATTATCATTGATGAATTATTTAAAAAAAATTAGAAACTGGTTTTATATAAAGAATGGGAAGATATTTTAAAATCTCTTTTACGAACGTTGTGAAAATTGGTATGTACTTTAAACAAACACTTCTTATAAATAAAAGCAAAATATACGTACAGATATATTTTTTCTGTTCTTTTGTTTGCTAAATGAATCAAAAGTAGAGGTATCCATGCAGCGCTGTTATAAAGCCAGTTCAACTTAGTGCGTCCTGAGTGAGAAAATAATTTGCTTTTATCATTTCTTACGTTATTTTTTCTGATAAATTATTCAGCCAGATAAATAAAGGCACCGAACGACTTTTAATTACTCCCGACAAATTAAAGATGAACTGCGGTGCAAAAGTCGGTGCACAATGCTGCTAGACAATTTGTAAAGGGCATTTCTTTGCAATTTTACAGCTAAATAACATCAATAAACATTTCTTTCTTTTTTTTAAAGAAACCTTTAAAGAAAACAGAAAGTTTGCTTTTAAATTGCTTTTGGTGAATTTAGAAAAAATTAAACACTTCCGAAATGTTTTGATCTGAGTATGAGCTATAGTCTCTGCGATTTCGTCCATGTCAATGGTCATATAGGCAAAATTATTGTTTCAGAACAATCTATTTCTTGCCCATATCAGATGAATACGATGAAGTTTCCCATTTTTGGTTTTTGAACTTTGATTTTGAAATTAATTAGATGAACAGTTGAATGCTATCAGCTTATTCGCATCACTCACCATACGACAAAATACTTAATCTAACTAGCTGTCACAAACAAGTAAAAGGTCCATATTCTTTATTTTTCGAAAGTAATAATTACTTTATATATTTCCTTGCAAACAAGCTTTATAGAATTCCTATCTTAAAATATGTTTATTTGAATGTCCCAGAGCAGACTTATACTTAAAGTTCAGGTTTTTGGCATCATTGACAGTTCCTTTTCATAGGAAATGAATCTTGTAAATGTATTTACTTTGTTGACGATCATTTTCAAAATTATTTTGTGGAAAAATATTCTTATTGCAAACAAAATTGAAATTGATATAATGAAGATGCTTGAATTTCTAATTAACAGTATCTGTGAAGTTTTTTGATACCAGTTCTTCCAACAAAGTGCTGGAATTCTTATGGGGACCAATAGCGCCCAGTTATTTACATATACATGTACCTATTTCTGTGCTCATATGAAGCATAATTTATTTTAAAAACATATACAAGAGAAGAAGAAAAAACATGTCGTGGCCCTCTGCATGGCATTTTACAGACGGGAAGTAGTGCTTAAGTTGGCAATTTCATTTTCAGAGTTTTATTTTCAACTTATAAAGTTTGCTTTTCCAACATTAGATTTCACAATTCAAAAATTGGCCTTTCAAACGTCGAAGTTTATAATTCTATCTTTAACCTTTGGTTTCACAACTTTGAAACAGGACATTGAACTTACCAGTATAATATATCAGCATCTATATAAATATAATATAGATGCCTTTATCTTATGAGGAAATATTTTGGTCGAGATCGGCGTACACAGTCGGGTTCGGTATACTCATCCTTTTTTACATGCGCTTCAAACAGAAAGGTAGCAGACATTTTTAGCTCTCAAATGATTTAAAAAATAATCACAGTCCTATTTCTTTTATTCAAAATAATTGTCTAAACAATAATTATAGACACATTGGTGATACTTATTTGCATCGATGGTTAAGTTAAGCTGTATTTAAGACTTGATTTTCGTGGGATTGAAATCTGTAAGAAAATTCGAATAAAAGCGGCTTTCATACTTCAAGGCTTTTCTACTTGGAAAAAATAAATGAAAATTTTTGTGTTATTTTAAATTGTAATATTTGCTATTGTTATTTTGTTTAATTGTAATATCACAATGCCACGAGTCAAAGCTTAGAGGGCGAAGGACACGCCATTGCGAAGGCAAGCAACCAGGACAAGATCTAAAGCCAGTAAAGGACCCAATGACGCGCCAGCAGAGATTGAAAAGGAGCCTGTGGTTCCAGTAGTCGAGCAAATCAATAAAGTTAGCGAGACAGTTGCCTGTGTACAGTCGGTGACTTCACCCCCCTGTACCTCACAGTCTGATCAGAACGCCATGGGTGATTCACAAGGTACACCTCAAATAATGCCAAGTATTACTCATCAGTTGGCAGTGAATGTGTCACAAAATATCAAATCAAAAATAATAAGTTCAGCTTATGTAGATCTTGCTTTGCTGCTTCACAATACTAATGCTGTTCCCTCAGAAAAGTCTATCTATATTAATGAAAGGGGGGAACTTGTCACAAGGGAAACTACCAAACCATCTGTTAAAATTGATTGCATTGAAAAATGGACAGATGCCTTTATTATATATAGCAGTATCTACTCGGCAGTTCACCTTGATTCAGTTCAAGGATTATTCAAATACATGCATGATGTTAGGTTGGGAGCATCAAGGGTCGGGGATTTTGGTTTCAAAAACTATGATGAGCAATTTCGTCTTCGTCGTAGCCTTAATCCAACAATTCCATGGGGAAATGTAGACAACGAATTGTGCTGATTTATATGTGTCCAACAAATGCAATTCAAACCCCATTCACAGTCCCCTCTATGTCATCATACACATGCTTTGATTACAATTATAAAGGGATTTGTGTGCGCCCAATATGTTCTTATAATCATGCTTGCATCAAATGTCGAGGTAACCATCCAGTGTCACAGTGCCCTCGGGCATCTTATCCTCAAACTCAATCAGGCAATTATGGGAATAACTATGGGCAGGTTAATAACAAAATTTCTCCCCCATCATCAGTTGCCCCCATTCGTTTTCGTCCCCGAGGAACACAAATGCAAGTCCCCAGAGCAAAGCTTCCAAGACATAACTTGCCCAGCACTAACTATCATTACCCGTATTCCACCAGACCTATGGGAACTGGTAAAAACGCCAATTAATGTGGACAGGTTAATTGAAAGTCTTGAAACATACCCAAATAAAGCTGCAGCACTTGAATTAAAACAGGGGTTTTGTGAGGGATTTCGATTACATTACAATGGTCCAAGGATTCATTCTATGTAAAAAAAATTTAACATCAGCCTGTGATCATCATGAGGAATTATTGGATAAAGTTAGGAAAGAGGTAGAGATGGGTAGGATTATGGGCCCTTTTTGTAATATTCCGCTAGTTAATCTCCATATTTCACCCGTAGGAATAGTACCAAAGTCAGATGGGGGGTGGCGTATGATCATGCACCTTTCATATCCAAAATTTAAAAGCATAAATCACTTTATAGACCAAGATTTGTGTTCTGTGCATTACTCGTCATTTGACAATGTAGTTGAAATGATATCGAATCTTCGGAAAGGGGCCTTACTTGGTAAAGTAGACATCAAAAGTGCCTTTAGACTTATTCCTGTAAATCCAAGTGATTTTGATTTATTAGGTTTTTCAATTGATTCTTTGTTCTACATAGATAAATGTTTACCCATGGGATGCTCAATAAGTTGCAAAATCTGGGAGACTTTTGCGACTTTTCTGCATTGGTTAACAAAAGTTAGGTCAGGGTTAGATTCATTGGATCACTATCTGGATGATTTTATTTTTGCTGGAAGGTCAGGGACAAACAATTGTCAAAAACTAATGTCAGAGTTTATAAATATGTGTTCTGAGCTGGGTATTCCATTAGCAGAGGAAAAGACCATTGGCCCTGTTTCTGTGCTTATATTTTTTAGGATTGGAAATTGATACCATTAATATGCTAATAAGGATCCCTCAGGCAAAAGTGGATATTCTAAAACAAATCATACATGACTTTTTGGCAAGGAAATCTGTTTTATTGAAAGAATTAGAATCATTAGTAGGCATGTTAAATTTCTTTGGGAAAGCAATAAGATCCAGTAGGGCATTCAACCGTAGATTTTATGATGCTATGAGTGGTGCCTCAGAAGCTCATCATCATGTAAGGTTAACAGTTGAGTTAAAGGAGGATTTATATATGTGGTCTAAGTTTTTAGAGGAATTCAATGGGATTTCCTATTTTCCAGAGAAAGAGTGGATAAGTTCAGATGTACTTAAATTATATACAGATAGTGCAGGAAGTGCAGAGCTTGGATGTGGTGCCTATTTTCAGGGTAAATGGGTGTTTTTTCAGTGGCCATTAGCATGGCCAAGGACTCATATTCTTAGAGATATGACATTTCTAGAGCTGGTTCCCCTGGTATTAGCAATTAGTCTATGGGGTCATGAACTCAAATGCAAAAAGGTTTTGTTTCATATTGACAAACTTGCTTTAGTCAGTATAGTAAATAAACAAACATCAAAGTCCAAGAGAGTAATGAAGCTAGTTAGGCAATTAGTATTAATGCTTATGGAGTGTAATTATATTTTTAAGGCTAAACACATTTTTAGTAGTAATAATAGTATTGCTGATTCTATTTCCCGCAAGCAGTGGTTGCGGTTCAGGGAATTAGCTCCAGAAGCAAGGGAAAGTCCAGAACCCGTTCCAACCAATTTTCTTCAAACGATTTACAGTTGCAAGTAGAGAAACTATTGGATGCCTCCTTGTCAAAGAATACAAAGCGAGCATACGATACGGGAATAGCTGCATTTCAAAAATTTAGGGATGAATTTAGCTTTTCAAATATTTGGCCACCACCTCCAGAGCATGTTTTTCAATTTATAGCATATTTATCTCTGAAAAAGTTTACTTCATCAACTGCTAGATTGTATCTATCAGCAATAAGTTTTGAGTGTAAGTCCAGAGGACTAGTGGATATCACAAAGAATTTTTTGGTTTGTAAGATGTTGGAAGGCATGAAGAGATTATCAGTTACGAAAGATTCACGACTTCCAATTACCCCTTCTATACTATGCAAAATAATTCAAATCTTACCATCAGTCTGTACAAATTTGTACGTGTCTTCTCTCTTTCAAGCGGCATACATGTTAGCATTTTTGGGGTTTTTGAG